GGCACCCTGTTGAAAATTACGTAGAATTTTCCACTAATCGCCACCAAGCATACGCCTACAGAGCTGCTGCAGCACCTTCATTACGTCTTTGTGTTGTGATCGGGCATTGGCTATGAGGATAGAGGCATATTAGCTCCTCTCAGGTGTTAAACATCTTCTATACTATCTCAGTGAATTAGTCAAGATTAGCGGAATAGGGATCAGTTGCGGGGTAATCGACTGGCTCGTTGAAAAGCTATAGTTGAACGCCCAAAACCAGTTTTTGCATTCTCAAACATATCTGCAACATCATGTCAACTAAAGATCAGCGGAATAAGGGTCAGTTGCGGGGTAATCGACTGGTTCGTTAAGCAGCTGTAACCGATCGTTCAAAACCAGTGTTTGCATTCTCAAGTATATCTGAAGCATCCTGTCAACGCATGCTGGTATCATTTGGGGGTCATTCGCGTTGCTGGCATTTGCCTTTTCCTGGGAGAATTGTCTCTGAAGGTTGTTCCATTCGTCGGTTGCGCTCCGGAATGGTAAAGCGGGTATCGTGTCCACGAGCCTTTCAAGTTCCGCAATCTCAGCCGCTATTCTAGAAAGATATCGGAATCGCAGGCGTAAAACTACTACAAGGCCCTTTTTAGTTGCCACATCGACCCTTTCCGCGATTTTCTTGTCCAATGCGGAAGATCCAAATTCTTGTTTATCCAGTTTGTACTTTTTTCCCTTCCTCGTTGACTCCAATATTTCTTGCGCTTTCACCCAGAAGTCCCTCGCATAATTTTCAATTTGAGTCGTAGGCACAGTGAAGTACTTTCTGACAGTACCTACGATGCCACTGTCATAACGGGTAACATCCTCTTCTTGCTCATCCGTACTGGATTTGGTCATAGTTGTCAACTTCTGCAGTAGAGCTTTTCCGACACCAACACCAAGCGCAACTTCTTCAGGATTGCCTCCAACATATTCATAAGCAGTTTGGCAAACCTCCCAGAGTTGCTCGCTATCTTCAATAGCAGCATTCGCAATGCCCTCCATTTTCTTAGATGCAGCCGCTGCTTCTTCCTTGGTCAACGGCTGGCTCTGCAGAACTGCATGCAGCCTCTCTTTCAACACTGGCAACATATACTGGAGCTTTTGGTTGTATGAATTCGCTCGCTCGTACGCAGCTGTAACACCCTCAACGTCCTGCGCAGACTTCATGGCTTCTACTTCTTGATATTGCTGAGAAAACAATATTTTCACGTCTTCTATTTCTTCGTTTGATATTCCAGAAGCCGGCTGCCACCCATATGATGGGCGAGTCGCCGACAATAGCACATGAATACCAATGACTAAATCTGCATCAATCTCGAGCGGTATACGTTCTTTCTGAAGTTTCGACAGCATAATCGCCTTATGCATTTCTAGGATATCTTGTCTCACTGCACTGTCAAGTGCAGCCAGACGTTCCAAGGTATACTGCCTGAAGTTCAGGGCAGCAACGATTCCGTAAATATCGGCGAAACCGCTTATATCGCTCATGTCTATCAATTCCGCATGCTTTAAGCGCCCAACAACTTCCTTGTTCTCCTGTTGCAACGTCCAAACTGTACCTTCCACAGATTTCAGCGTCTCTAGACACACTTTGACCGAAGGGGAGGCGCCCAAGCTTCCCGACAGGGGCGTCCGCAAATTCCATGTGTCTGTAAAATGGATTCCCTGGGAGCAATAGGCCTCCACTGCCTCACCATGGGTTTTTGCGAGTGTTGCCAAATGCAAAAGGGAATCCTTTGCTACTTGAAGGGATTGGTTCATTACGTTGACCGTCTGAGTCCGAATCTGCGTAGTGTTTGGGTCCCCACGGCCTTTCGCATCACCGTATTCCTTATAAGCCTTTTCAGCAGTGTTCACATTACTTATCAATGCATCTGCGTACTCTTTGGCTTCCTGACGAGGCAGTTCATTGACCAGGTGACTCACAACATAAAACAGCCTACTGATGGCGCTACACTCTGCTCTCAATTCCTGTAGTTCTGCGTCCCGCTCAGTTATCGTGACAGCACCGCGTCCTGGGATTCCTTCGCGCTGCTCCACTTTAGCCGTTTTAGCAGTTGGCTGCACCTGAGGAACGCCAACTACCCCGGAGGGAGGCGTCTGCTTCGGTAAGACCTCCTTTTCTGCTGGTTGCTTAGGCGGTAATGCCTCTTGAGGCTCCCCTTCTGGCAAAAACACTCCACCTTCCGGCAAGTGTACCTCTTCGCCCGCTGCCTCCGCCTGTTTGAGTTTTTCTCTCGCCTGTTTGCTGCGCTCTCTTTTAACTGATATTATTTTTAGTAAAATTAGGAACACCACAAACAAAACGACTAGATGTTTCTTTGAGACGCGCCGCATTCCATACTGGCTATCCGTTTCTTCCGGCTCGAGAGCGAGCTCTGTATCCGATCTAACCATAGCGCTAGACTGGTATTCGTTCGACACGTCCCATTCTCTGGAGTACCTTGGGGATCTTTCTAGTGCCTCCGATGAGCATACATTCCGTTGCTTAACGA